GCTTGTGTGCTCATATGGTGGGTTGGTTTCCTTTAAAATCTCTTGTTCCTGGATCGTGGGAAATTTCAAGTATGCAGGAGGTGATCCCCAATTCTTATAGCCCTAAAAATTTTTTTGAGAAATTTTTTTTCTTCCTCTATTTTGCCGCCAGCACTTGTTTTCTCCCTTTTTTATTGYTGTAACCCTTGTTCAACCTTGTGGGAAGAGGTTTTGGGTGTTCAGCTAGTGTTGGGATATCATGGTGTTGGTAAGAAAAGTTTTTGGGTAGGGTTGTGATCAATGGACTCACACAAGGATGTCTATGTGCCTACCTATGTCTTCCTGAGAGGTAATGATAATGCCAGTGGACAGACTACTACTGTTAAACTTAATGGAACAAATTTCCTTGAATGGTCTCAATCATCTAAGCTTACAATTGATGGGAGAGATAAGCTTGGGTTTATTACCGGTAAGGAAGCTAAACCAAAACCTAAAGATCCAAATCATTCCAAATGGGAGTAGGATAATATGTTGGTCATGTCATGGCTTGTATTCTATGCAGCCACACATTGCCCACAACTATATGTTACTTTCAACAACCAAGGATATATGGTACAGGTTAGCTACCACTTATTCTCAAGCTAGAAACACTACTAGAATCTATTAGTTGCAGAGAGAAGCATGTAATGTGCGTCAAGGGGAGAGGTCAATGGCTATGTATTTCTCTTCCATACAATCAATTTGAGAAGAAATTGATCATTTAGAGGCCTTGGTGTGGAAGGATCCTGTAGATGCTGAGCAATACAGGAAGTATTGAGAAAAAACAAAGTTTTTGATTTCCTTGCTAGACTGAATGCTAACTATGACTTCACCAGACAGCACATTCTTAGAACTAATATCTTGTCACTCTCCATAGCATATTCCCTTGTGCAGAATGAGGAGAGTGGGAGGAATGCTACGATGCAGGTACCTATAGGTGAACACACTACCCTTGTGTCCACCAAGCCCAAACTGAGTTCCAATATACCTCCTATATTTGAAAAAACTGAAGAGATTATTTGAGAATATTGCAAGAAGCCAAAGCACACCAAGGATAAGTTTTCGAAATTAAATCCCCATCTGAAGCCTGAGAAGTTTAAAACTAGAAAGAAGGGAAATGCTCATATTGCTACAAGCAGTCATGAAGCTCAAACTCATATTCTTGAGGGAAATCCTCCTGCTCAGCCTCCTACTCATGACACCTCTGATGTGATGGACAAATTGAGAGGTATCTTACGTGAACTTGAAAAGAACAGGCTGCCTACATCTGCTAGCTAGTCCACATACACCTTACAGTGCCTATGCAAAATCAAGTATTGCACATGTGTGTAGGGGTGTCAATGGACCGGTTTTGGGCTGGACTCCGTCCAAATCAAAATCAATTTGGACGGATTGGACGGACCAATAAGACATATTGAATTTGGACGGACTGGACAGACCAATATGACATATCGGATTAGACCTGGTCTGTCCATAATGAATTTAAATTGGATTAAACCAATATCTGGTCCATTGATAGAAGATAAGAACATAGGTGTCAATGGACCAGGTTTGAGTTGAAACCAATCTAAATTAATAGGAATTTGAACAGATTGGACAGTCTCTAAACTGGTCCAAAATGGTCCAAAATATTCATCGGACTAGATTGGACCAGGTCCATTTGTAATGGACTCACATTGGACTGGATCGGATTGGACCAAATCCAGTCCAATTGGCACCCCTACATGTGTGCCATGCCTCATCCCCTAGCTCTTGGATAATTGACATAAGAGCCAGTGATCATATGACTGGTACGCCTTCCTACTTCACCACTTATAGATATTTTCAGGGAAAGGTAAGATTACCGTTGTTGATAGATCTCAAACTCCAACCTCGAGTTTGGGTGAAGTTAAACTTACCAACAACCTTTCTTTGAACTTTGTACTCCATATTCCACAATTGCATAGAAATGTCCTATCTATTAGTTCCCTTACCAAATCTCATAATTGTTTCATAACCTTCTTTCCTTCTCATTGTGTCTTTCAGTATCCGAGTACAAGGAATATGATTGGTAGTGGAAATGAAGCTAGTGGAGTTTATCTTCTTGATCAGTCTCCAACGTTAGGGTTAACGTGTTAGCCTAAGTCTTGTCATGATGAGAAACTAAAGTCAGTTGAAATTATGGCATCACTGTCTTGGGCATGTGTCTTTTGGTTCACTAAAGTTTTTGTTTCCTAGTATGTTTGATTCTAATTTGTAATGTGAAATTTGTCAACCA